TTCGGGCCTAGACCCTTCATCAGGGTCTAGGCCCGAAACGTCAGCCTCTCTGCTCCTATGATGCTGCTTGGCCTGCTGTGTTCATCCAGCCCTGCACCTTGTTGTCTGGTATTATTGCTAGACTGTTAATCCAGAGACCCAGATAACATTCTGGACCTGGCTTCGAATCCTACCATGGCAGGTGGTGGAATTGAATTCAATCAAATATCTGGAATTAATGATCTAATAATAACCATGAATCCATTGTTGATTGATTGTTGGAAAAACCCATCTGGTTCACTAATGTCCTTTAGGGAAGGTAACTGCCATCCTTGCCTGATCTGGCCTACATGTGACTCCAGACCAACAGCAATGTGGTTGACTCTCAACTGCCCTCTGGGCAATTAGGGATGGGCAATAAATGTTGCCTAGCCAGTGATGTCCTCATCCCATTAATGAATAAGGGGGAAAAATCTTTCCATGTCATGTGAACATGAGCACTTATTGGTGAGTCTTTTTCCAAATCTCTGATTTATTGTGTAATGGGTCACATTTGGTTTCAACATGTGATGTTTGACATCTACCATTTTGTCTACCCAATTGCATAACTGGTCTTTATCTTCAAACTTTCTGCTGCTTCCTGTTTCTCTCTTCCACCTCCATAATGTCAGCCCATTGGGCAAGCTTATGGTTGTAATATTTGCATCTTATTTATTGTGAACAACACTGAAGTAAGATGCAAATTTCAATGCCATATTTGTAGTGTAGATAAATTATGATTTCAGCACTGCCCACTGCAGAAATCTCATTGACACATTCCTTCTAACCCAACAGAACTCTAGTTAATACTCTGCTCCCTATTTGGTAGATTTGGTCTTATGCAGTGTCCTTTCAGTTTAACAGAAGTCTTTGAAAACTTTGTCAAGTTCTGTATCGATGTAAATATGTCATTGTCTACTTTGTAGCATCCTGAAAATTGTCAAGGGTGTTAGATGGTTGTTTTAACTGAAATAACAAGCTAGATGCTTAGTATATCCTTAACTCTCTAGCATCTGAGTACTTCTGTCTTAGTGTGATTTTCTTTTGTTACTGACATTTTTATGGCCCTTTGTGCTGGCATTGCAAATTTGATATTGAATTATGAGCTATTTTGTGTTGTGAACCCTTTTCCATTGGGAACTGCCTGAAAAATATCGAACTTTATTTCCTACCCTTTAAAGCCAGTAAAATATTTTGTCTTGTTTATCTTTGACCTTGGACAGTGGTCCTAAGTTTGCTAGTGTGTACTGATGTTAGTACATATTAGGCAATTTTTTTTAATATTCAAATTTAGTAATTTTGTTGACCGTAAGATTTGATACTATTTATTCAGTTCTGTGATCTATGGATTTATGTTAATACTTGTTAAAGGGCTAGTAGTAAATAGAAGTTGTTCTTGGGACAAATGAATTGAGCAATTAAGGCAGGTTGGCCTTTTTTTTTTTGCTGTTAGTTCTTAGAATGTGAACATTGCTGAAAAAGCCAGCCATCATTGAAATCCCCTGTTGTGCTTGTGAACCACTGCAATCCTTATTCTGTTAAGAGGGGAATTTTGTACCTGTTGCCACGAAGGAGCTGTGATGTTTTCATGACTTGAAGGGGAGCATAATTGTGGTCCTCACATTTCTTTGAACGTAAACGTGGGATTTAACAGCAGGAGTAAGCCTTCTGGCCCCTTGCGACTGCTCCACCATTTGATGAAATTATGTCTGATCTGATTATGTACTCAACTCCACTTTCCCTTCTCCCAGCACTCCTCCCACCACCCTCACCCCTCCCCTCCACCCCAAAAAAAAGGTTTGTCTTTTCTATCGAGAATCTAGCTCTTCAGCCTTAGAAATATTCAGTGACCCTGCGTTCATTGCTCTCTGGCAAAGGGAATTCCAAAGACCTACAAACCTCAAATCTGTTTTAAATGGGATGCCAAGTAAATTTTAAACTGTCCCTAGTTTTAGTCTCTTCCACAAGGAGAAACATCCTCTGTGTTCACTTTATCAAGTAGTCCTTGCAATCATGTATATCTCTATAAGATCACCTCTTATTCTTCATTTCCAATGTGTAGAGGTACAATTAGTTAAGCATTTATTCATGAAATAAGCCATTTTAGGAATTAGTGAAATTACCCTTCTCTGAATTGTTTCTAATGCTATTACATTGTTTCTCAAGAAGACCAAAACTGTTCACATTACTCCAGTTGCAATCTCTTCAAAACCCAAGGGGATTGTGGCAAAGGTTCTCAACTTTTGTATTCCATTTCTCTTGCAATAAACTACAACATTCCATTTCTCCTCCTAATTACTTGCTGTACCTTCATGCCAATGATTGAGATTCATGTACCAGGGCATGCACATCTGTCTGCACCAAAGTTTGGCTATTTTTCTGTATTTCAGTAATATACTTTTTATATTTTCCCTGTACAAATTCACATTTTCTAGTATTATACTGCATATGCCAATTTTTGCCCAACACACTCAACCTTTCTATACCCGTTTATAGAAACTCATGCCCACCTCTCAATTGTTTTCGTACTTACCTTTTGTTAACAGTAAATTTAGCAACCATATATTTGAGATCCTTATTCACGTCCTTTATATGGACTGTAAATTGTCAAGACCCCAGCACCACTTCCTATGACACTCCCTGGTTACAGCTTACTGACCTGATGATAGCCCATTTATCCCTGCTTTCTGCTTCCTATTCGTTAAGCACTGTTCTGTTGATATTTCCCACATGCTATGCGCTCTTACTTGATTCAGCAACCTTTGACGTGACACCCTGTCAAATGACTTTTGGAAATCCAAGTATGCCACGTCTGAAGATTCTTCTTTATTCCGATTACGAGTTATATCCTCAAAACAGCTCTAAATTAGATGAACACGAGTTTCCTTTTAGAATCAATTTGACATGGCCTAGTTGCATTAAGATTTAAGTAATCTTTCTATAGCCCCCTTAGGAAAAATGCTAGAAACTATTACTATCAGACATTAGGCTAACTGTTTTCTGTCACCTTCCTTTCTTGAATAGAAGAGTTACTACAATTTGAAACCTTTTTCAGGATCAAGAAAATGTTGGAATATTAAAACAAATGAATCTAGTATCTCTGCAGCCACTACTTTTAAGACTCTAGGAAGAAATCCCAGAACTCCCAGCCCTGACCTGTTCTTGTAGCCACAGTATTGGAATGGCTGATCAAGTTACAGTAACTTCCAGGCGAAAATTCTGGTCAGTTTATAACACGGATATATTAACAATATGTACTATTTTTACTATTGTACGATTTCTGCATATAGTCTTCCTCAGTTTTCAACTGTTGAGCCGTTTGACAGTAAAGGGGGGTTAGTGGTGGTGCTATGGTGTAAGTACTTTTGAGTTTGTTTGAATTTGAATCCAGTGGATAGTGTGGAAGCTTGCACTTCTGTTTCTGGCAATTTGGATATTCATATCATATGATAATGTGATCTTAAAGTTTTAACTCCAATTCCAATAGTCCTACGTTTGAAGGGCAATATTGCCTACAATTTGGCAGTATGTTGATATAAAGTGTACTTGTATAAGACATCGCAAATGTTTGTACTGATGTGCAGGTTCTCTCATTCATTGCTCAAAGTTATTTCTGGCTGCTTATTCTGCATTATAAAGCTAGCAGATTTTCTTTGTTAGTAATATATGCATTCTGAAAGAAACTGAAAATATTGAAGTGAAAGCTTCTAACCTCTAGTGGAAACAAGCCCAGCCTGTCCAACCTAACTCCAACACATTCATTCCAAGTATTAATCGAGTGAAATTTTGCCTCCAGTGCCTTTACATTTTACCTTAAATGATCAAACCAAACTGAGCACAATATTTGTTTTGTGGTCTCAGCAATGCCCTGACACATTGAACTGAACAGAAACATAACATCCATTCTTTTGTTCAATCCTTGTTATAATAAATGCCTACGTTCCATTAGATGCCTTCCCCATTTGCTAAGCCTGCATATTAACTTTTTGTGACTTGTGCACTAAAACATCTAGATCTTTCTGCACCTTGGACCTCTGCAGTCGTTCTCCATTTAAGTAAAGCTCTGCTTTCCTGCCAAAGTGAGCAAGTTCTCATTTTCCTACAATATACTGCATCTGCTAGATTGTTGCCCACTGACTTATTAGCAAATATACCAATGTGGAACTTGTTGTTCTTTCAAAGCATATCATTGATATTTATACCATTGATGTAAATTGTAAAAAGTTGAGGACCCCCAGTGATCCACACCCTTCCCCCACTGGAACCCACATATCCAATCCTATAAATTTTTATATAAAAGATCCATTTATGCATACCATTTTCTGTCAGCCAATCTTGTATGTTAACCCCTAAACAATCTTTTATGTGGAACATTGTCAAATCCGTTTTGTAAATCCAAGTACAGTAAGCTGGTTCCCCTTTATCCCCAGCGCTTGTTACACCTTCAAATAACTCCAATAAATTGGTTAAACACAATTTTCCTTTCTCAAAACAATGGTGATTTTCCCTGGTCAACTTGAGGTTTTTTAAATGGCCAGTATTAACTTCCTCAATGATTCTTCAGTAATTTGACACCTTCCTCGTGACAGATATCAAGCTAACTCACACAGTTTTCTGTTTTCTGTCCCTCTCCCTTATTCAATAGAGGGGTATATTTGCTATTTTCCATTCTGGTATGACCTTTCCAGAATCTAACAAATTCTGGAAAATTATCACCAATGTATCTACTCCCTTATTAGACACCTCTTTTTGGTTAGGACCCTAGCTTGAAGTCCATTAGAACCTGGATTTGTTTTTACTCGACATGTTCTCATGTTATTACACATCTCTGCAACAGGTAGGGCTTGAACCTGGAGCTTTCTACACTCCATTAATTGGTTAACTAGAAATGGTGGCTCAATGAATATCTGCATCCTTGCTGCTGATAGATCCTAGTACCAAAGACAATACCGAAGTGTTCACAAACATCTTCAGCCAAATGTATGGAGTGGATGAAACTTCGTTTCTCCCTCTTGAGGTTCCTACCAGATACTAGTCTTCAGCCAATTCAATTCATTATCCATGTCATAAGAAAATTGCTGAGTGCAGTGGAAACAACAAAGGCTACACGTATCAACAACATTCTGGCCTTTACTAAGGATAGAATGAGTATTAGTGCCTGTATCTGTTTAACTAACCAGGCAGCATTCAACTGTCTAGACTGTTTAGGTGTGATGTTGGAGAATTGTGATTTGGAGTCATAGTCTTAACCATGACAACTTGTTTCCTTAAGCTGAAACGTACATTTGCTGTTTATTATACTGAATATCCTGATGTGGTATGCTTGGACTGCTACTGGTGGGTCATGACTGATCATCTGCCAGCTTGAGGGAATTGAGTTTAAAGAGTCAAGCTGCCTAGCAAAGGCTGTCACTTGCTTGAAGTACTAGGACAATGGAATCATTTTTCTCAAAATAATCCAAACACTTAGTTGTTTGGGGTGAAGAAATCCAGTTTGATATCTCTGTTAGTGCATAGGTACTTGAAAACAAACAACAACATCAGTAAGGTTTCTGTATTGCTTCCACCTTCTGTCGGTGTAACCATGTATACCTTGTGATTTTACTCTGTGTGAAGAACAGCAAGAGGTATCAGCAGCAAACTATACTGGGAAAGTGTAATCGGCAGTTAATGTGATTTGCAGGAAGTGCATCCTACATTTAAAATGTAAAATTTTACTCAATCTCTGGTCTCTGTTGCACGTGGAGTCAAGTCCAAATGGAAACGTGACCACCTTCAAACTCCTCCATGCTGACTTGGAAATGTGTCACTCTATTCATTGACCGTCACTGGGTCAAAATCTTGGAACTCCCAAATATCACTTTGGATACATCTACACTAAATGGTCTTTAGGCAATTCACAACTATAGTAAGGGCAGCTATGGGTGTGCAGTAAATACTGGCCTAGCCAGTGAAACAAACACCCTAAATGAGGAAACTGAAATATGCAGACTGTATTCAAGTTATATTTTGTCCTTTCTTGCTTTTGGTGGTGTTAGTTTTTGTCAGGTCTTTAGCATGGATAGTGGTAAGTTGTATTGTTATCTTTAGTTCTAACTGGAATTTTGGTTACAGAAAATGACAAAGGAAGACCCAGGCAAACAAGTTCTCTATTAGGGAAAGGTCATTTTTGCAGCAGTGTGATTTGGTAAAATTGGATTGATAACTACTCAAATAAATCTGTGGCAGCTCAGGAAATGATGGAGATTCTCAAAGAAAGAGGGTGGAGCTCACAAATCTCAAATTGCATTGATATCAAGGCGGCTATGTTGTAGGATAAGGCAGAAAAGGCTCGTGTCCGATATCAAAGTCTCAATACTAATGTTCTCCCCAAATTCTCTTTTGCCTTGTTTGATCTGCTTGTTGGACTACTTAGTTGCTTTAAGATTGTTGCATGATTACATGAGCAAGTTGTACAGTTTATTTCTCGTTGCTGGAAACAGCTTTGTTTAGTTAATAGTCTGGAGGAGTATTGAAAGTACAAGAAAATTTAGAAGCAAATTTAGAGAACAGAGGCATGATGTCAAGGATAATGCAAATAAATTCTGTAAACCCAGCATATGATAACCAAGGAAAGATTAGGATCTATTTAAAGTTGAAAAGATAAAGCCTTTACATGGGTCTTGTTCTTAACGAATAATTGTATCTGTTTTTACAAAAGATGGTAAGGATGTGGATATTGTAGTTGAGGAAGAGTACATGATATCAGGGTACAAGAAGCAATATTAATGATTTAGTATTTCATAAGATAAATTACCAAGGCTGGATGTACTTATCATAGGCTAAGAGAATAAGGGAGAAAATAATGGATGTTCAGTCCATCATTTTCCAGTCCTCCTTGGCTACAAATGTCATTGCTACTGATGGCTGTGCTAATATTTAAAAAAGCAGAAGAGGGATTAACCAAGTAATTACAGGCCAGTCAGCTTAACCTTGTGGCAGATTTTTGGGAGGAGAAAGACCGAGTACTGCATTTGTTGCTTTTTAGAAAGGAGTGGAATAATCAAGGACTGTTAAAATGTTTTTGATTTTACGTACATGAATCCAAAGTGCTGAAAATACTCAACAGGAGGGGCAGCATCGATGGAGAGAGAAGCAAGAGTTAATATTTCAGGTCCGTCATCTTTTTATCAAATTAAGGGAATGTGGTCTCTGACTAACTTGAACTTTTTTAATGGCAGGTTGTTGTGCATAATTGTCTTACATCAGTTGTTACGTGGGATGTAACAAGGCTTTTGATCGACCTCCGGTGATAGACTGCTCTTAATCTGTAGATGAGGGTTTCAGTCACAGAAGGACTATGGCAAGTGCAAGTTGTACAATGTTAGTTTGAAATAGGTGGTCTTCACGATTGAGTGGATATGTTGTTGATGCCTTGTTTCACAATTAGATATCATAATTTGCAAATAGTTTGGTTAAACCTTAAACAATTACCGTGGGCATGGATGAGTTTATTGGCTAGGAAATGGAGTTTGCTGTTAGACTGCAGACAACTGGCTCATTCTTCACGGTACTGCTTTGGA